TATATATATATATATATATATAACGTATCCCTTGAAACTTGAGTGTACAATTTCAGTTATTACATGATCAATAATAAAATCCAACAAAATCCTTAAATAACATGCAAAATAACAACTACAGAAATTAGATGCAGGGCCAATGCAACAATTAAATAGCAACATTAATCAACTGAGCTCAGTAATACATGTATTCAGTGCAGACAATATATAAAGCCAGCTGTACGACATGAGAATTAATTACAATATGAATGTGACAGCAGCTTCTAGTATTAAGCGGCAATTAATGATTCTTCGTTCAGCAGCAAAAATTCTTAATCCACTTATTGGCTTCTTGCTCATTGTACCAATGCTCCTAATAAACACACCGCACTCACTCACAATTAACATGCACATTATTAATGGAATGGGTAAGATATATAACCATGAAACACATTGACACGCTGGTGTTCATTTAGGACAAAACTAAGGTAGATGAACGTGTCTGAGTCATGGAGTTTGATGCTCCTTTTCAATACACTGTTAAAATACGAGGCAGTACCTTTTGTGTAATGTTCTTTACTGTAAGAAGTGAACCGACTTTGCAAAGATTTGTTTTAGTAGAGGTTTTACGGCGCTCGCAACTGATGGTCATATGAGCGCCAAGGGGTGGATGTCAACAGAGCAGTCCTTACAGGGAATCAGACTTACTTTGCCCACATCTTTAGTTTCAACAGCACAAAGTCTGCTTCGACTAACAAGGAACCCCGGAAATAGCGGGTCACAAGAGTGTGACAAACAAACAAAAGGATTAGAGGAAAATGACGATAGTAAGGATTAGGAAAGAAAAAGCAGCAGTTCCTTGTTGCAGAACAGGCACAGTTATGAGCATGACATTGATGAATCAGCCCATTTACAATTACAATTCTACTGTGCATAAGAACTCGAGATGTTAATGTCCCCCCCACCCACCCTTTTGGGGATGGCCTAAAGACACTTCAGTGAGTAGAACCGCCCTGGGGGGTCCTTTGCAAAGAGCCTTGGGTATTCCTCAAACATCACGATGAGCACCATAATTAGGTTCTTTTAGGAACCGAACCAGGGTCATCGTAATGGAGTAAAATGTAAATGTACATGTTTAACAAACATAAAAACAAACACATCCGTTACGTATTCTAGCAGAAATTGACGGAGAGAAGACAGACAAACAGAATCATACACGCCCATATGCACCAAAGGTAACATAACACACACACTCACTTTTCTTGAAAGACTTCTAAAGCCGATGGATACAGACACACTCAGGCATACACCGGTGCTGTTCAAGTTAAGTTCAACTCATTTACGTGAAAGTGCACAGCACACTAAAGTTAAACAAGGGATTTTAAAAAAGACATGATATTGAGAATATATTTGAATTTGGAAATAATACTCACTTCCTTTGTTCGCCTTCATGGCTTCGTTCTCCTTTCTTCTTTTTTCTGCTCTCTCCTCCTGAATCTTGCGCTGCTCGTTGTCCTGGAAACACAAACATATTATTATTATTATTAT